ATCTGTAGAGTGCACATCTTTCCTAAGGTGGGGCCAGAGCAAGCGAGGCAGCGCTCTGTGAAGCGGACATGCCAGCGGTGTGCTTCCTCAGAAAGGAGAGCAGGAAAGGGTGCTGGGTTGAGGAGACAGCTGCTTGGTTTGATCACCACATGAAAGCCCAGCAGGGGAGCCATGTGGGTAATCTCAGTGCTAGGGAGGCAGACTCGTGGGTCCCTGGAGCCTGGAGAATGAGTTTAATGAGCCTCAGGCTCCTAAGAAACACCCAGTGTTTATCTCTGACATACATGCACACACTTGCATGCGTGTGCGCACACACACACACAATGTTGATAAAATATAAAGCTTGCAGTCCTGGGGTGGGCCTTAATTACCCCAACTTCGTCACATTGGCAGTTTGAGCCAACACTCATCTAGATAAATGAATGATTAGATATTGTTACTTATTAAAAGAAAATTTACTGGTGCAGGTGAAAGCACTTGCTGCCAGACCTACCAACCTGAATTTAATCTCCTATCCCCACGTGGTGGAAGGAGAGGACTTGACATTGTAAGCTGGTTAATTGTCCTCTGACCTTCACACATGCACCATGGCCTGCAAACACACACACATGCAAGCTGGGGGTTTGAGGCACCAACTTAGGTCTCCTGAAACACTGGTTAGATGTAGCAGCTTTCCCCTAGCTGATCCGAGCTATGTCTCTCAGTCTAAGAACTGATCTGCTCCCGGGAGCCTCAAGAAGATGGAATGTGGCCATTCGCTGTTGACTAGTCGCAGAGGTAGAGGGGAGAAACTTCTGCCAGCTCTTCTAGGCCATCAGTTGTGGCCTTGCATTAGCCCACAGCCAGCAAAGAGGAACTGAAGGGTTTGACTCCAGGGGAAGGAGCCCGTGGTCAATGCACTGGCTGGAGTCAGCTGGCATTGCTTGGCAGCTTGTGGCGGAAAGGAAGCAGGTGTGAGCCTGAGAGGCTGGGGCTGACTCCTCTTGGGATCACCTCCAGCCCCTATGCCTGTATATTTCAGTTGTCCAAACCATGTCAGCACGCTATTAAACCACACAAGGGGAGACTGCTTTTTTTGCAATTGACTCTAAGATCTTTGGAACTATCCAAGTGGACCCTGGCAAGAGGAGAGCTTCTTTCCTTCTTCTGGGTTCTTTCTCTCAGACATATGGATGGTGGGTTTCATTTGTTGTTGAAATTTAGAAAAATGTTAAAGTCTACAAGAAGTTCCAGCTTGGTAAATATGTCTACATGACTCTGCAGAAGTGCATTTGGCCATTTCTCCCTCCCTCCTCTCACCTCCCACCCCTCTGAGGACTCAGGATCTGCTCACTCAGCCTGCTAGACCTGCTACTGAGGCTTGCCGCTTCTGGCCTGAGCTGCTAAGTGCTTTCTCCTCTCCCTAAGCAGCAAGATGGGCCTGCTGGTCAGGCCTCCCTGGAAAAAAGCAGAAATAAATCAAACACCAGCTCCTACTTAAGATCTGATGAAATCCTCCATTTCCTCTCCAAATTGAATTCCTCCTGCAGGAAGGGAGCAGCTCCTGGGATTCTCAAAGACTCTCCTTCCTTCTCTGCTAGAAGCAGAGTTTAAATTAATAGACACAACATTCTTTTTTTAATTTTAATTTTTACATTTATTGGTATTTTGCCTGCATGTTTGTCTGTGTGAGGTTGTCAGAAGCCCTGGAATTGAAGTTCCAGACAGGTGTGAATTGCCGTGTGGTTGCTGGGAACTGAACCTGGGTTTCTGCAGCCAGTGCTCTTAACTGCTGAGCGTCTCTTCAGCCCCATGGACACAACATTCTAATCTGGCTGGGTAGGTTTAGTGTGTGGCACAAGCATCAGCATCTAGAGCACTTGGACTTTGTGGAGGAGTGACCTCTACCATGCTGGTGGTCTCCTGGGAAGGCTGACAGACACAGATCTGCTGAGGCTTTGAGCATCCCAGGCCTGCCTGCCCACCTCTTCCCCACCCCCACCTGTCCCATGTGCAGCCAAGAGAGTGTGGCAGACAATTCAAGAGGGAGAAAACAATAAATTCAGTGACTTATGGTTTAAAACAAAAAGAAAAAAACAACTTTGTTTTTAATGTGAAGATGTTAGCGATTGTCCTCCCTGTATCCTGATGGTAAATCAGCATTTGTAGAGACTGTTAACCTCTCTTCCAGGGCCTAAGAAAGCAGCCCTATTTTCCAGGGGCTTTGTAAAGCCTGAGCCAGCTGAGAAGCTAAGAATTCAGGGCTCTGCTGTGCATGTGGGAGTGGGCATTGCAGACTTGGGTGCCTAGACATTCCGAAAGCTCCTCTGTTGTGGGGTGCTGTCCATGCTGACAAGCCTGCTAATCCCCAAAGTGAGCTGAGGTGTGTTGTTCCCTTTACTACCTACTGCGGAAAGCAGATGTCTAAAATGTCTACTTACCCTGAGAAATTCTGACATTTACCATCTTGGAAGAAGGGAGGAGCTTTTCACGGAAGGAATGTTCTGGCCATCCTGTATGTCCAAGTTTGTTTTAACACCCTCGAGAAAAGTTCTCCAACCCGACCCTGTGTTTTTAATTTAGTGTTAAGAAAAAGACTCTCTTCCTACTTAGGAAGAGAGCCTATTACGGCACTTCTCAACCTGTGGGTCAGGTGCCTGTTAGGTGACCTTTTCACAGGGGTCATCTAAGACCATCAGAAAACATAGATATTTATATCACGATTCATAACAGTGGCAGATTAGTTATGAAGCAGCAACAAAAATAATTTTATGGTTGGGGTCACCACAAAATGAGGAACTGTTTTTAAGGGCCACAGCATTAGGAAGGCTGAGAACCACTGGCCTCATGGGTGAAACTTGAGCAGGGCACAGGTAGCCCCTGGAAATTTGAGAACCAGGAACCCATGTGGACATTTTTTCCAGGGAGAGGCCTCTGGTGATAACAGGCATTTTAGCACTTAGACACCCTTCCTTCTGACTCCTCCAGTCTGTCAGAGGATGTTACACTTCCTTCTTCCTGAGAATAATAGGAAATTGTTTACTGTTGGCTGGGAAGAAGGAGTTGGGGGATAGGAAACGGGAACTTATTTTGGATTCCTCTAGATCTACCCTCAAGCCATCTCAGAGGTACACAGGCCTTGGAGATGCTCCCCAATTTCAGAAGGGTGGGGAGGGAAGTCTGGTGGAGATGATTGTTCAAAGGGAAAAACTGAAGGTTGGAGGATGAGGCTCCCTCGCCATAGGTCACTCACTGGTCAAGCTCTTCTTCTTCCGGACTAGCCATTCAAATGCACCTTGACTAGGTCTGTAGAGGCACAAAGCCCTGCACCCCGACAGGGCAGCCCTCCTTCTGGTTCACTCATCCCCCTTGGAGCATTTCTGGTTTGAGCCAGGGTCAGCTGCCTAGTGTCTGCCCGCATGGCCATGGCTGTCACTCTGGCTACTGGATGCTTTCCAGGCAGGCTCATCTTTGAGCTGCTCACACAGTCTGGAGTTGCTCTGTTCTGTTTTAGCTAAAGGCCGCACTGCTGCCAGCAGTATGTCTGGAATGTTATTTACTCTTGCATTTCTGTGGCTTTTCCTGTAGCATCACACTTGGCAGAGTTAGGGGTCATTCATTTGAGAATGCCAGGTTGTGCCATTTTTCTTTCTTGGTAAGGTAAAGTGGAGGCTGGCTGCTGTGCCTGGAGGTCCCCTCCCTGCCTTCCTTCTTACATTTTTGTCTGAGCTGCTAATCTGCTCGACTCTTGGTGCCTGTTGCACCGCACCCCTTTGTCCTCAGTGCCTCAACTCTGCTTTTAATATGTGGGGTTTCTGTGGGCTTTCCGGAAAGCCTGGCAGATGCTTTTTCATTTGCGTGCCTACCCTGTTATTACTTCACATGAAAGCTGTCTATTTTGGCAGTCCTGACTCCCGCGATTGCAATTTAGTTCTCCATGCTGAATGGGTGATATTGTGCAAGGGAAGTATAGGTGGGGTTTTTCTCTAATGGTGGCTGCGGGGGTGGACCAGAATCTGCACGCCACCGTCTTGGCTTGTGCAGGGCTGACATGATGGCAAACAAATGGCGTTTGAAGGAAGGAACTGGTGTGTATAGTTCCTCACTGTGAAAGTTCTCACAACTCACTTGTTTTAATTCATGGATTTGTTTTTAAAGAACAAATTCTTCATCGGGAAGAACATAAATGAGTTCGTTCTAAGTGCAGAAGGTGGAAGCAAAGCAAGGATTCTGTTTCTCCCTCCTTCATGAAACCCACTTCCTCCCTTTCCATCCATGCAGTTTTAATCGTGGTATTTGGAGTTGCAGAAGAAGCTATGGAAAATGAGATTAGATGACTCCCCATCTGGTGCCGGCCCTGGGGCCATGTGCACCCCGGGAGGGTTAGTGCCCCTCCTCCCCTTTCAGGAGTCTCTTGTCACCTGAGTCTGTAAGGGCCTGTGGCTCACATGGAGAGTCTTTGTTTTGTAGACATAGGCTCTTTCTACTCAGGAGTCTCCCCACCCAGGGCACCTGTTTGGTTCTTAACACAGTCATCTCCAGTGTGAAATGGAAGATTTGGGGTTCTATTCTTTCTGGCTTCTCCCGGCCTTCCACATGACTTCCTGATGTGCCTGTGAGCTGCGGGGTTTTTGGCTGAGCAGTCTTCTTTGATCACGCTCCTGACAGCACAGACTTCACATTCTCACACCTGTTCTTTTACAGTCCAGATTTCAGAGCAAATGTTTCCATCGCCTTGTGATTTTCTCAGTATAAAACTTAGTGCAGGTTACTTATTACAGGTAATAGCAGCCTGATGACGAAGACAACTGCTGGCAGAAACTCAGCAGCTTGAACAGCTGCCAGTAACATAAACCGCCACTCGATTTAGGTCGAAAAGCACCGCGGCTGCATCTGTCCATCATGATCTGGCACGCACGCCGTAATAACAGACTCTGTGGGCTACGAAAGCTGCCCCGCTGAGCAGCCACGAGGACAGGTGCTAACAGGATTCCACGTTTTTTCTCTCCCATTATCTGCAGCCCACACATCATCTTCCTCTCTCAGAGCACCTTAACAGGTATGAGCCATCTCTGTGGGACCCGTCTCTGCCATGAAATTGCGCATGCCTGGTTTGGCCTAGCCATCGGGGCCCGAGACTGGACAGAGGAGTGGCTCAGTGAAGGGTTCGCCACTCACCTGGAAGATGTGTTTTGGGCTGAAGCACAGCAGGTGGGTCCAGAGGATTTCCCTACCCTGAACCAAGTTCTGCCTTCTGTCACCCACTCATTCCACGGTCACATCTGTGTGCGTTAGGCACCATGTTTGCTGGATAATGACTGTGAAAAAACTGCTTTCTCAGCCACGCAGCCTAGACACGGAGGGAGCAGATGAACAAAAGCAATGTGACAAGTACACCGAGAGCCACATACAGCGTGATGGGGACTATTTGGCCAGGGGGTTAGAGAAGCCCCGTTCAGGACACATCTGAGAAGAGGGATGAAGCTCAGATTCCTGCATTGTGTTATGGTCATGGGAACTTTAGCTGCAGATGTTTTGTTTGTCTTGAGACAGGGTCTTTCTGTAGCTCTAGTTGGCCTGGAGCTTACTGTGTAGACCAGACTCAACTTGAATTTGTGTGAGTTCTCATCCCTTGCTGCGGGCTTTTTAAATAACCAGACTTAAATATTAATCAGCACTGTGACTCACACCTGGAATCCCAGCACTTGTGAGGCTGAGGGAGAAAGATGGGCAGGAGTTGGAGGTCAGTGCAGTCAGTTCTAGATAACAAGACTCAGCCTCAGCCTCCTTCCCTAAAAAAGAGTGGAGTTCTCTGGATGAAGGACAAGGCATATAGTGCTGTGGATTAGGTAACGTGACCCACTGGCATCCACTACTCTGCTACAGTCAGTTGTCATGTTTAAAAGGAGGTTCATCGTGGCTGGGACAAGCGTTTTAGAAACTCAGTCTTTCTAGTTAGGAACTCACTAGTTCAGAAAAGATGTTGTAAACCAGGCGTGGTGGCCCATACTTGTGTTCCCAGCATGTGGGGGCTGGAGCAAGAGCTCTCAGGCCACCCTGGGCAATGCAGCGAGCTGCAGACTGGCCGCAGCTTGAGGGACACCCTGTCATAAAGCAAACAATCAGAGGCTGAGAATGTAGCCCATTGGCCATGCCTCTGCTTATCACGAGCTGAGAATGTACTCGGTAGTCATGCCTCTGCTTAGCCTACACGCCTGGGTTCGACCTCGAGATGAAAAGTGCTGATCAAGCAACATCTCACTGCCTCCACCCGAGCCTTGACCACCGGGTCTCCTGAGCATGAGACTTGTGAGCTGTTTCCTACTTTCTCTCTACTCCCTAACCTCGGAGTCACTCTTTTCTACATGGTACCCACCTTTGCTTTCATGGCATTTTCTAAAACTCCCAAGTTTCTTCATACTGTTTGACTTTGTTCAGAAACATTCTGCCTGGTGAATTCTTTGTGTTTCAGTGGTCAGCTTGAGTTCCTATCTCTGAAACCCAAACTGAGTCACACCTCAAACCCCCCAGCTCAGCTTTCCTGGACTCTGAAATCCTGTTGCTTTCTGCTGTGTGTTTTTCTCATTCTCACTACAGAAGCAAAGTCACCACACAGAGGGGCTGTGTCTCACTCGTCCTGCTTCAGAGAAGCTACCCAGTTGATTGGAGAAGAAACTAGGTTCTGAGTCCAGGTGGTGAGCCCTGTTCTTGCTCACTAGCTTTCTGAGCACAAGCAAGTTCTAGAGCTTCCTTCCTTAGACCTTAGCTCGCCTCTTGGGGAATGGGCCTAGAAGACTCAAGTTCACAAAGTGGATGGTATGATGTGTAAGTGATCTTAACACATCTTAGACACATGGAAGCGGTGTGAACAGTATGCTTGCTTATTCCACCCTGCACCCGTTGGCATTTTGCAGGGGTGAATATTAGTATGCCCTGTCTTCATCTCTTTCCTGGCTTGTTCCCCTCTTAGGACGCGCAGACTGGCAACTCCCGAGTTCATTTCAACCATCCTGTAGTGTCTCTCACTTCATTTTGAAAGAGCAAACTCTTCTTTTACCTCGTGTCCTGCCTGTATTCAGAGCCCAGCTCTGTGTGAGCATGTCTCTACCAAATGAGAGAAGCAGGCTGGGCTGCATCTCTCCACTGCCTGTGTACCTTCCATGTCCTTTCTGCGTTCATCCTGTGGGGCCAGAAGGTGGAGGGTAAGAGAAGCACTCAGTGGAAGGAGAGAAAGGCTAAAGCAGAGGGCAAGTGGGTACTGTAGTCCTATGCACATCCAGAGTGGGTGAGGCCAGAAAGCCTTATGGAGGAAGTGCCTGCTGCTGTAGCTTTAAGAAAACCATGTTGGGCTCTCTCGATCCTTCTGTCCCCTTCTCCTCAACCTTCCATAGGGGTCACCTCACATCATCTTCCCCACTACAAGCAGGAACTTCAACATAGAAGAATGCCAAAGCCTCTCAGCTTTTTTAGAGACCCCATAGAGTTTGGGAAGGTTTCTGGAGAAACTGGGTCATGAGGGCCAAGAGTGGTCCTGCCCTCTGGGCTGCAGAAGCTACAGCAGAGAGAATGCAGTGGGGCAGTGACCCGGTGGAGACAGCGCTGCAGCACTGAGCCCAAGAGCACAGCAGGGAGAGGTGTGTGGACTCACAGAGCGGGGAGGAAGCTGCCAGGCCGGATAGCATACAGCCTTCATGGACCAGATGAGTCCAGACCACTTCCACACCTCTGCTTCTCTGCTTGGGCAGCCGTAGTCCAGCTCCAGAAGTGGTGGTTTAAATAACAGCTCAAGAAGCTGACAGGATCTGGGGGCCAGAGAGTCTCCTGGCTGCCTGAAGAGTGTTCCCTCACTCTAGGCCACAAGGTCATCCTTCCATACTTGAGAGAGGGACGGAGCTTGAGTGCCATCGTCTTAGAAGACCAGAGCCCTGGAGGGTCAGGGTCCCCTCCAAAAGCCTCATTTAACCATGATCACCTTCTGGAAGGTCTTGTCTCCAAATGCATCCTCATTAAGTCCTTGGAGCATTCTGTTGATCCCTGGCCCCTCTACCACCTGCCTTCCTGCCTCGGCTGTCTGCTCCCAGCCAGCTCATACCCCTTACTGTTTTCTAAGAACAGCACACTCTTTCCAAACCTGTAGTGCTGTCTCGCTTCCTGAAGTCTCTGCCCCTGCAAGCTCAGGCTTCACCACCTCCCCTGATGAACCCCATGGTCCTTCTTGAGCTTCACATGGCCCCAAGTCTGTGTGGTGCCCTCACAGACCTCTCCTCATGGGAGTTCAGTCTTCCATGACAACCCAGGGCCTACACAGATACAGAGACTCGGTGAATGCATTGTTAGAGACCAGTAACTTCTAAATGTCTGCAGAGCCCGTATGTTTTCCTCCCTGCAGGGTACTCCACCGCCTGCCTCTTTTATGGAAATCCCAGCCATGTGGCCTTGTGACCACATCCATGTGACAGCAGCCAGTCCTGCCTCTGTGGGGCAGTATGATGGCCTCCCCTGCCTCCAAATTGAGTCCAGACAGTAGACTTTTTTCTGGATCTGTGCAAACAGAGTCATCTGGATTACATTAGCAGGCCCTACTATAAACAGTCCTTAACAAAATTGAGGGTTGAAAAAAGAAGAGGTAAGTGGAGGGGCCTTTTCCCTCCCCATGCAGAAACACCAGGCAGGGGAAGACGGCTGGATGGAATCAAAGGAGAAATGGCCTGTGGGGAAGCCCCCTGTGCAGGTGTGTGTTCTCGACTGGAACGGTCACAGACAGGGCTGCTGTACCCAGCAGCAGAAGGGCTTTGCAGGCCCAAGAGCTCAGCCTCAGCCAGCCCTTCCAGCCCTCTTCTGCCTGAGAACCTAGGAAGGAAGGCATGCCCTGTGTCCTCGCTGAGGAGAGCCTGATCAATACAATGACTCCGCTTTGCATGTGTTTTTGTGTGTCTGTGTCCTGTGTAGCTGCCCCCACACGAGGCCCTGGAGCAGCAAGAGCTGAGGGCTTGCCTGCGCTGGCATCGCCTACAGGATGAGCTGCGGAACTCCCCAGAGGAAATGCAGATGTTGAGGTAAGACCCCAGTGTTTCCCGCCTCCTCCTCCCTTCCACCCTCCTGTGGGCACATCCTTACTGCTGACTAAATCTACTGTTGCCTTTAAAATGCAACATGGCTTGGGTTCCTCACCTTCTCAGGGACATGATTGCCATCTTTTAAGTCTTCCAGGGTTTGGGTTTTGATTTGCCTTTTGACGTTTTTCTGGTGTCTCAATTCAAGAAAAAAAATAGTAATAGCATAAGGGACTAAATTCTTGGTTTGAAATTCTAATAGTCACTTTATGTGGTGATCGTGGACGTGAAGACGCTTACGGTTTGGCAGTTTGGCAGGCAGTAACCCTTTAAAGCCGAAGAGGGGAGAATCTGTAAGAAAATATTGATTGCTTTGCGTTTAGTAGTAACAGATGTGCGTGTCAATGGGGCCTTTTGTTGAGTTGTTGCCCAGCAGGAAGCCGCCCACCACTGCTCTGGGCTCTCTGCTCCTGGGTGTTGTTTTCAGAGTGCACATGGCACTTGTAGGATTACAGCCTGCGTCTCTCCAGTTCCATCCTTGCTCCTTTACCATAAACCTTTATCTGAAGCCTCTTGCCCAAGCCCCAGGAGCACCAAGGTTGCTATGACAACAGACGCTTCCATCCAGCCCCTGTTGAGCAGAATTAAGTATTAGGAATCTCTAGTCAGTGGGAAGGGTGGCCCATCTAGGAATTACCCCTTTCTCAATCCATTGTACATGGCACCCCTGGGGGCTGTCCTTCTAGGCAGAGGCCTGCCTTGGGCACTTCTGCTGTTGATTGCTTCTAAATAACCCCCCTCTTTCTAAATAAACCCCCTCTCCATCCTATCTCCCATGCCTTGAACCTGAACCACACTGGGAGGCAAAACCCAGAGCAAAAACAGACCAAGCAAGGCTTGCGGGTGCTTTGGTGCAGTGCTGCCCTTACCACGCCAGGCACCTGCACACTAGCTGTGGCCTCCCGGGATGGCCCATCCCTTGTTTAGGAGAGACAACCAGAGCCGTGGTAAAACATAGCCAGCCAGGAGCCAGAGCCCTGCCGTTCAGCCGAAGGCCACTGTGCCAGTATCTGTTCCCTCAGCCAGCCTGGCTGCTCCTGCAGTGTGGACTTGGTGCCTGCTCTCAAAGAGCTTCCACTTAGCAGGGACAGCGTCATGTGTCCAGGCCTGCTGGAGATGGTAAGCTGTAATGCCACGGAACTAACCCGAGGGCATCGAGACGGATCTGGGCGTGTGCTCAGCTTGGCAGAGAGAGGAGCACAAAGGCTTTGAGGCTGGGAAGGGCCTTGGGAGCAGAAATGACAGAGCTGTGAGTCAGGAGAGACTTTGCATCGCGTTCTCCAGAAGCTAGCTAGTCTCGGCACGCAAGCATCCTGAGCTTGCTGGTGTTTCCTGTGTAGAATGGGCTGCAGGCAAAGAACACAGAGCATAGATGTGCAGAGGGAGGCTCCTGGTAGAGCTGTGGTCTCCTGGATGTGTGTCTTCAAGGCACAACAGGAGATTCTCATTGAAGGCCAAGAGCAGAGAGAGGACCCAGAGTGACTGGAGCTTTGGGTAGATGGAAGAACAGGTGTTAAATAAAGACTCTGGCTTTGCATGTGCTGACTTTGAGATGTTGAGTAGACAGGTGGGCAGTGGAGCTTGTAGGGAAGAGCATTCTTCAGCTAGCCTTGGGCGCCACAGGGAAGCATGACCTTTAGGTTGAGCTGTGTGAAAGATGGCAGTGGCCTTGGGCTCCATGCTTGTTTTTGTGTGGTGGACGGGTGTGAAGAGCGATGCCCAAGCAGACCTGGTCATGCTTGCTCGCTCATAAAGCGTCACTGCGGAGACCATGTGGGGATCTTGCCACATGCTCAAGGCAAGCTGTCTAAACTGTAAATCCTTCACCACCAGACTGTTTCTCAAACGAAAAGAGCCTCTCTATTGTCCACGTTTAAGTCTCTTGGTGGCTCTGGTTCTGCACGGGGTGGTCCTTTGGTGCGTGGAAGGACATCAACATCACCTTGACAAAATTATGTCTCCAGCTGTTAAGTGAGTTGCCCTACATCCTTGGAAGCCACTTCTCACCCCTGTCCTCTGTGGAGCTGTGGACGGCCCAGTTGCCGGAGTGAAGTTTTTTTTCTGTAGTGAGAGGACTTGGGGAGTATTTTGAATGTCTGAGCTAGAAGGGCTTATTGTGGCTTTTGTTTACTCTGTCTTAACATTCAGAAACTGTCTCGGCCAGAATTTAGGCTGACTGAAAACAGTGCAGTGAGGGACCCAGGGCAGATAGACACAGAGAGCAGTCGTCAGCTGCTGTGCAGTGAGGGACCCACTGCAGATACAGAGAGCAGTCATCAGCTGCTGTGCAGTGAGGGAACCAGGTCAGATAGACAGAGAGGGGTCATCAGCCGCCCGTGCAGTGAGGAGGAGGAATTACATTATCGGGCTCAACTTACTCTTGGAGTTCTCCCTAAGAAGGGTTCAGGAAACCTCAATTTACTGACATGGAAAAAAGAAGATGGGTAAAATTTGCTTTAAGATTATATTTTAAATCGGGTGGTGGTGACGCCTTTAATCCGTGCACTCAATAGGCAGAGGCAGACTGATCTCTGGGAGTGTGAGGCCTGCCTGGTCTATGACAGGACAGCCCTTCTGATGCCCCACTCCTGCAGTGTGGCTTGGGCTAGAAGACTCTTCCTCCCCGGCAGTAGCTTCTCTTTGTTCCCGTCATCGATTCCAGGCCAGCCTCATTCTCCCTCCCTCTCCTGCTTCCTGATGCTCTGGGAAAACTGAACGGGCCTGCTCTCTGTTTCTTTGACTGTACAGTAGCTCCAGGTCCACCTCTGCCCAGGCCACCCAAGCCCACACATTGGCCTGTCTACTTTCATGAACAAGTTGAATACTTTTTGACCAACCACAGAAGAGCTGTGGCCCCAAGGCCCCCAGGGATGAAGGGAGGGAGGGTCCATGCGTGAATGGGGGAAGAAAGTTGTCATCACTTTAGAATGTGGACTGGGCACATTCATCTTGTTGGAGAGGACAGTACAACCTCTGGAGGCTCCTGCAGGGGTAACAGTGGGGTTGCAGGTGAGAACAGCAATCCAGACACCTTCACTTTCGCTGAGGCATACGCTGAACCCTTTGTATGGGGAGTGTAAACTGGGTAGTCTTACTGCTTATCATGAAGGGTATTAATTACTGAGACTAAAGGTAGCCTTAGCCTTACCTTTTGACACAGTACCTAGTAAATTTACCTGGATTTAATTTTTGCTTTGTTTGTATACTGGCTACTTTTATGTCAACTTAACACAAGCTAGAGACATTTGGGAAAGAGGGAAGTTAACAAAATGCCTTCATAAGACTGCCCATAACCAAGCCTGTAGTACATTTTCTTTTTTTCTGTTTTTTTTGAGATAGGGTCTGTGTGTAGCCCTGATGGCCATAGAACTTGATATGTAGACTAGGCTGGGCCTTGACCTCACAGGGCTCTGTCTGCCTCTGCTTCTTTGGTGCTGACATTAAAAGCATGCTCCGCAGCCCCTGGCTGCATTTTCATAATTAGTGATTGATATGGGAGGGCCCAGCCCACTGTGTGTAAGAAAGCAGGCCGAGCAAACCATGAGAAGCAACCCAGTAAGCATCACTCCCCTGTGGCTTCTACACCCAGGTTCTTGCCTGGAGTTCCTTCCCCAACTTCCTTGGATGATGGACTACAGACTATGAGGCGAAATAAAGCCTTTCCTCCCCAGGTTGCTTTTGGTATGGTGTTTTATCTCAGGAACAGAAACCCTGGCTGAGACTGTTTTGTTTGAGATCTCACTGTTAGAGCCCTGTGTATTGGTTCCTTTTCTTATTGCTATGACAAGATACCCAAGAAAATGAACTTAAGGAAGGAAGGGCTTGTGTGGGTTTCCAATGAAAGCCATGGTGGTGAGGCTGACCGGAAGCAGAAAGAGAGGATGCTGGCTCTCAGCTCACTTTCACCATCCCCTTTTTATCCATTGGGACACTGGGTGCTTGCATTCAGGGTGGGTCTTCTCTTCTCATTAAGCCTCTCTGGAAATGCCCTCGAAGACAGACCTGGAGGTGTGTGTCCTGGATGATTTTAAATAAAAGTTGTCATTGATGAACTGCCCTGCCCTAATTGGCCTGGGACTCACTGTGTAGCTGCTGCCTGAGACCTGCTGCATTCTTCCTGGGACTTAAGTTCTCCAAGTCCTGGGATTATAGGTGATTAAAGGAGCTGATCTCTGTTATGCTTGTTTGGGCAGACAAACTGCAAAAGTTTATTGTTTTTGAGGTCCCCTGCCCAATGTGAGCCCACTGGAGCCTCCCCCACAAGCACCTGGCTCTGTTGCCTCTGTCTTGGGTTGCCCACACAGCGCACCTTCCTTTCTCTCCCCGACCCCGCTTTAACTGGTAACTCTGTCACCTTTCTGCCAGTGTAGCACTCACCTTTGCGTGCTGCCGCCTCATCTAATCACCAGCCACCCCCACCCCAGCATCCAGTTCCTGGAAGTCTGCACACTGCCCTTACAGGAATAGAGAAAATGTGTCCCTAACCCCTGTGCCTGAACTACACCAGCCTCTGAAGCTGTCTCAGTTCTTACCTTCCTGTACTCCGCTGGCTTCCCCGGTACCATGGGTGAGTTCTAGGAGCTTCTGTTCCCTGACTTTCACACCAGAAGTACTGCCTCTTCCTGCTTTTGCCAGTCCCCATCCCTGTCCCAGTCCCCACCCCTATGTCCTTTTTAGTCTGATCAAAGTTGTTTGCTGTTCCACATTTGATATTCTTCAGGGGACTTTATTCCCAGTGGTTTCTGTTTGTTTGTTTGTTTGTTTGTTTTCAAAACAGGATTTCTCAGTGTAGCTTTGGCCATCCTGGAACTCACTCTGTAGACCAGGCTGGCCTTGAACTCATAGAGATCTGCCTGCCTCTGCTTCCCAAATTCTGGGATTAAAGGTGTGCGTCATTCCAGTTTTCTCCACGTGAAGACTCGGATATTAGATTTATGTCAGGC